AGCAACGGGGAGGGATTACTCCATGCGTGACTCGGGGTGCTGCCTCCATCCACACTATGGGAGCAACGGGGAGGGATTACTCCATGCGTGACTCGCAGGTGCATCACGTTGGGAGGAAGATACCAGTGCGACTGTGTGCCATAGGGCTCTGTTTATGTGAAGGTCGGAAACAGGCTGACCTGCTCTAGGGGGTGAGAAGCCCAAACAGAGTTCTCCCTGGGGGAGGTGGAGCTCGAGTGTTGGGGTCGGGACCCTTCTCTGTGGGCAGGACAAGCAGGCCTCCCAGGAGCACTGTCCTGCAGTGCCCAGCACTCGTGCAGTGACCAGCAGTGGCAGGATGGGCGTTCAGGGACAGCTGATGCCCACCTCGCCCCAAGAGCAGGGGAGGGGCAGGGCTCTCTTCTGGAACCTCGAAGGCACCGTTGCTCCTGCGGGGTGGAGGCTGGGACTCGTCCGTGAGATGACTGACCCCACACGGCGATGTTCAGACACATCCAAAATCAATCTGGCCTTTAGCCCAGCACTTAACTCTCGGGATGGGTCTACTTTTCAGTGCTGATAATCCAAAGAAAATAAGCTTTCAGATTCCAGAGAGAGCCGGATATCTCCCACTTAACGCAAAACGCAATCGCACTGAACAAAAGATGTTCTGAAAAAACATGCTCCTTGAGCGATGAATATTTAATTAAGGGAAATGATAAATCTAGCATTAATGGGAAAATATATTCACCCTCAGAAGTCATGGTTTGATGGGCCTCTAGCACATCTTACACTACTGTTATTGGGGTTATTTTATTGCTGGTTATTAGTTTTTACTGTTTGGTTATTTTTTCGCTCTGCTCAATTTTATCAATTGCAGGGAAAATTCTATGCAGGGAAGAAAGAAAAGATGTGAGTCTGCAGAGCCTGTGGTCTGCTCGCCCTCTGCTCTTTACCCTCGAGAGAAGTCCAGATCCAGCAGTTTACAGGGACTCACTTCCCTTCTCTCCGTGCTGCACGGCACAGTCAGAGGGAGCGAATGCCCAGAGGGAGCCATGAGGTTTATAATAGATACAAAGAGGTGAAGAGTTATCATGGGGAAACTGAGGCACAGAAGACAAGCTTTAGACAAACCGTGGTTTCAAAAACCCCTCCAATGTGGATGCCTGAAGCCCCTTCTCCCCTGTATGTGGATGACTTCACACACAGTTCATGTTCCTCAAATATTTTTATAATTCAGACTGCTCAGGGGCCAATTTGGTTACGATCGTAACTCATCATGTTAACCATATATGTTCGGTTCCGGATACAGAAACCCCCGATGTGGGAGCAGATATCCCAGAGACAGTTGGAGGTAAGCTGGACATGGAGGTGTAGTGGACCAAGGGGCGGCCACCTGGACACGGCAGCAGGCGGCCTGGCGTGAGGCATGAGGAGGGCCCTTGGGCCGGCTGTGTGAACCCGCAGCCGTTGGGGAAGTAGCCTCTCTCAGGACAAGGCTCCTTCGTGACTGTCGGTGGAGCAGCACGTGTGTTTCTGTCCCCTGCCCTATGCTGCGCCTTGTCCACGAACGAGGACACACGTGGCGCAGTGGTGGCGCCATCCCGGGGATGCGGGCACTGGCCCAGCGGCTGTGCTGCAGGGTGGGAAGTGGTGGGTGGGCAACAGGGGGCTGAGTTCACCTGTGCCTGGTGTCCTACGGCGGCCGTGGCCGGGCCAGCAACGTGGGGGCGTGGAGTCTCCGTCCGCTGCCCACAGACCAGTGGTAATGAAGGGCACACGCGTTTTCAGGCCCCGTGGATGTTCAAGGTGCGGTGAGCGTCAGGGCGTCGGCAGGAGGGTTACAGAGGGCACTCGGGCACAGGGCTCGGGGAGGGGCAGCTGCTGTTATTTCTGCTCTGAAAAAGACAGCTTGCGATTTGTTGTGAAAAGTGATATGCAGCCTCAGAGAAAAGTCCTCGGGCTGGGCTGATTCCAGCAAACATCACAGAGCAGGTAGCATTTGACTTGGGACTTGAAGGACGGACAAGGTTTAAATAAAAATGGGGGAGGGGCAAGCCCGAGATGGGGCTGGTGGGAAAGCTGGCCACCGAGCTGACCAGGGAGAACCTACGGACAAGGCTGTTGTCCTTGCAGGGCCCCGGTCCAGGCGGGCGGGCAGTCGGGGCCGGGTGTGGTGGCCCTGCCTTCTGCGTGAGGCAGCGAGGTGCCCTGGGCCTGCGTGGGTCGTGGTCAGGGAGCAGTCCCAGGGCCCTGTGCTGCCTCCAAGGGCTCCTCAGTGATGGGGGGACCTCAGCATGTGCCCCCCAGTCCTTCACCGTGAGCCCAGCCTCAGAACCTGTCTGCTTTTCCCTTTTGAAGTTAGAAGAGGTGTCTGCCACCCTTGTTCAAGCTGACCCCCAAGTCCTCCATGGCCTCAGATGGCTGTCATGGAGGGCCGGGAAGGGTCAGGGGCAGGGGTCAGCTCAGGTGCGGGGGCCCACGGGGCTTCCAGAACAAGCGGCACAAGACAGCTCCCGGATGGTGGAAGAAATCTCTGCAAAGAAGCAGTGAGGCCATCTCAGAGAACCCGAGTCCCTCAAATTAAGGGAGGGCAGGGTCTGAGAGCATCCACAGGGCCCTGGACCAGTGCCCACGTGGCGGGAAATCAGTTACCTGGAGGGTCCCGTGGGCGGGGAACCCTGCTTGGAGTCTCCCCTACTTCTCACCCGCAGAGCAGCCACCTACGCTGACCCCCGTCCTCTAGGGACTAAGGCCGTCTCTGAGAGTGAGCCCAGTGGTGGACGAGGCCTTCAGATTCCATCACACCCCATATCAGTGGAGAGGGTCCATTTGCCTCTGAGCCATACTTAGAGTGGTGATTTAAACATTATAAAAGAAAAAAAAATCTTCACTGGATACACACATTGGGCTGTTTTAAATTAACCTCATTTGATCTTGATTAGCTTTTAAATATTCAAATAATTTATATTTAAGATCAGTGGGTCCACCAAAAGCCATTTCTGCCTTGGTGGCTGGGTCTGCTTGGCTGTCAGCATCACAGGAGGCCGACTGATGTGGCCGCAGTAGAGGCGGGGAAGGATCCAGCTCGGGAGGGGGAAGGAATACAACTCAGGGCTGTGGAGGGCCTGACTCCCGGGTTCACCGCCTTCACTGTCCCTCGGCTTCCCTGCAAGGATTAGGTTTTAGACAGTTAACTGTCTAATTCAGGCCTCTGAATTTTAAGCCAAACTCACGTGTGTGCCTGTTCTCTCTTTTCTGTCCTGTAATCTTAGGACAAGTTGATTCCACTTTCACAGCTGTGTGTTCCTTCCTGGCTCCATGCTCAGCTGCTCGCTGGGAAGGTGGCCACGTGGTCTGGTCTCAGGGCTCTCTGCTGGGCACACCTCTGGGCCTTTTGGACCTGATTTCTGGCCCCAGCCCTGGTACCGGGGGAGGCCTTCCGGGAAGTGTGGGTGCGTCCCACAATGTTGCTCCCCAACCCCCCAGGGAGGCTTCACACATCAGGGGGGCATCGTTCTGATTCTGTCCTATTTTTCTGACCTGAGATAATCCTGTTTCTCTCTCGGTGACTGGGAATAGTGGTTTACCAGCTCCCATGCAGTAGACGGGGATGAGCCGGCTGGCATTCCGAAGTGCCTTGAGATTCCAGACAGAAGTTTCATTTGGGTCTGTGTGTCCTCGCTATAGTTACACGATTGATGGCCGTGGTCCATGCACTGAATTTCCCTCCCGGCAGCTGCAGACACCGCATCCCTCGGTCTCCTCAGTCACCTAGGGCTGGGTTGACAGGCTGTCCCGATGCTGCAGCATTTCTGGTGCCGTCCTCCAGCTTTGTTGCTGTCGTTGCTCTGGGGTGGCATTAGCTAACCACTGGGTGCCCCTGTTTTGTCTCTTGCAGGAGCCTGTGCTCAGCACCCTCGCTGGGGGCTGCCCTGGGTCCTCACTGAAGCCTGAGCCGCAGTCTTTGTTTCCCGGGAAATGGACGTGCCCAGGGCGCCCTCTGGTGGATTCTGGAGCTAACCGACCGTGAGTTCCTCGCGATGGCGATGGTCCTCCCGCCGGGCCCCGCACCCTCCCCTTGGAATGAGACCCTGCACACACACTACAACTATGTGGGCAAGCTGGAGGGCCGGCGGAGGGAAGCTACCGAGGGCAGCACCGTCACCAACGTGCTTCTCCTGATCGTCTGCAGCTTCATCGTCCTGGAGAACCTGATGGTTTTGATTGCCATCTGGAAAAACAATAAATTTCACAACCGCATGTACTTTTTCATTGGCAACCTGGCTCTCTGTGACCTGCTGGCCGGCGTCGCTTACGCGGTCAACATCCTGATGTCGGGCAAGAGGACGCTGAGCCTGTCTCCGACGGTCTGGTTCCTGCGGGAAGGCAGCATGTTCGTGGCCCTCGGGGCGTCCACCTGCAGCTTGCTGGCCATTGCCATCGAGCGGCACCTGACCATGATCAAGATGAGGCCGTACGATGCCAACAAGAAGCACCGCGTCTTCCTGCTGATCGGGATGTGCTGGCTCATTGCGTTCTCGCTGGGCGCCCTACCCATCCTGGGCTGGAACTGCCTGCACAAGCTGCCCTCCTGCTCCACCATCCTGCCCCTCTACTCCAAGAGCTACATCGCCTTCTGCATCAGCGTCTTCACGGCCATCCTGGCGACCATCGTGATCCTGTACGCGCGCATCTACTGCCTGGTGAAGTCCAGCAGCCGCAGGGTGGCCAGCCCCCACAACTCGGAGCGGTCCATGGCCCTGCTGCGGACGGTGGTGATCGTGGTGAGCGTGTTCATCGCCTGCTGGTCCCCGCTCTTCATCCTCTTCCTCATTGACGTGGCCTGCAAGGTGAAGGAGTGCCCCGTGCTGTTTGAGGCCGAGTGGTTTATCGGGCTGGCGGTGCTCAACTCCGCCATGAACCCCGTCATCTACACGCTGGCCAGCAAGGAGATGCGGCGAGCCTTCTTCCGGCTGGTCTGCACCTGCCTGGTCAAGCGCCGGGGCCCCCGCTCCTTGCCCATCCAGCCTGCTCTCGATCCAAGCAGGAGCAAATCCAGTGGCAGCAACAACAGCAGCCCGTCCTCAAAGAGCAAGGAAGACCCTCCTCCAGTGGCTGCCCCGCCCTGCATAACCAACAGAAACAAAACCCTGCAGAACGGGATCCTCTGCAAGTGAGGGCGCCAGCCTCAAGGAACGGGGTTCCTTACATCTCCATGGGAGGAGCAGCCCCCAGCCCTGGAGCCACGTTCTTATTTATTGCATGCCTCACCTGCCGTGGCTCTTCTGGAGCTGTGACTCTGGAAATCTCTTTTACCAACTGCCTGCCCACTGTGGACATTTCTTAAGGAGGGGACCCAACAAATTGCTGACTCATTTCAGTGTAGACAGCGTGTCTTGTTTCACCTTGTTCCAGAGTCTTCTGAAGGTACCAAGTTGCTGTCATCAACGCTGCCTCCCCCTGAATCCCACCAGCCACTCTCCGTTGTTCTTCGAGAGGGAAGGTCGTGGGCCACACAATGTACAATGAGTCTCCCAGGACAGAGGGATGCTGTTTGGTGACTTTACGTGACACTGACTGTGCACAGAAGGGGTGCTGTATATTCGTCATCTCTATGTTGCACAGCACTTGTGTTTTAAACATCTGCCGTTGGTACATGCGTAGCTGCAGCAGGCAGCGTGGTTCTGTAACAGGTGGGACAGCTGCGTTCTGACCAGACACCAGGTGCACGGACAGGGCTGGGAGCTAGGGGGGCACACCGTCTGGTCTCCTCAGACTGACATGAAATCGTGGGTAAGCAGGTTTTGAATGCTTACCTTCCAAAGAGGCCTTGTCCAGGGCTGCTCCCAGATGTGTGGGTCTGACGGAAAGCAGTCCAGAGACGTGCCCTTGAGCAATCAGCACCTGAAGGACCCTGGGGAGAATGAGCGAGTTCTGCGGGTGCAGGTCTCCTGAGGGGCCCCTGCTTCTCTTCCATCACGTATCCATGCACAGGTTGAAGCTCATCCAAAAACCACGTTAGCCAAATTATGTGATTGTTCAGGAGTTTCTCCAAATCACAGAAAAGCCACCTGAGGTCTTCCAGGAGCTGTGCCCCGGACCAACCAAGAACCCCTCAGGAGAGCAGAGGACAGACCCCTGGCCAGAGCAGGGGTCTGTTTAAGGGAAGATTTCTGTCGAATTAGGCGAGTTTCCCAGACAGCACTTTGATCCTGCATTGAGTTTGATTCTGTATCAGAAAAGCACCAAGGCCATAACCCCAGTGTTATCACAGCTGAGGAGCTGGGGCCGTCAGAGTCGCATGGCTCCTGGAAAGCAGGCCCTGATGGTAACCAGTAGAGCAGTTGAATTGTCAGGAGAGGAGCTGAACTCTGTCGGTTGTGCATTTTTCAAAGAAATGTAATAATACTGTACGCGGTACTGTAACCTTACTTCTCACACGGGTTGCCTCTGTATCACTCTGTCCACCTTACAAGGGGATGGCTGAGAACAGTCCCGAGGATTCCACATGCAATGCAAACTCATGAAACACGCGTCTGCAGAGCTCTCATAAGCTCATAGTTACAAAGAACGTGTTTTGTTCTTTGTAAAAACAAAACAACTTCAAAAAGATTCTTACTTGAGTAAACCTCACACCAGAGCCCCAGAAGGTTTTTAGGTTTGGTGAGAATTTTGCCTGAATAAAGACTAGAAGAGTAGTCTTAATACAGTAACTTTTCAGAAGAGAAATTGACTCCTGTTTGTTATCTGATGAAAGTTCTTCTTATCGAGGAACATTTCCATGGGTCCTAGGTGATCTCCATGCACTGACCAAAGACGTCCCTCATTTTTGGTACCAACTAGACAAATCCTATTGTAAGGAGATGCTCATTGGTGGCATTTTTGTTGCCTTCTTCACATCACTGAAAAGGAGCTGCTTCTCCTATCAAATAGCATGAGAAGACCCAGGGCATTTCTAGGAAAGTGAAGCATTAAGGTACTAGATTAAGAAAACAAAAACATGCATCTGAGAGCCAAAATATTGGGCATTGCGTTCTCACACGGGTAATGGAATGTCTTAAGAACTTCAGATCATGGTTCTGAGCTGCTTTGGGGGCCCTGCGTCTCTGGCACTAATATTAATAACCTTTTGCCATAACTCCAACTTCCCTCTGAGATGACGCAAAACTTTCAAGCAATAGGAATGAAAAATAATCCAAAAAAAGTAATTGTATTCATTCACTATATGCAGAGATAATCAACTTTAATACCAGTGTGTGCATCCTAACTAGCTAGCTGGGGATCGTTTAGAAGCTGAGTGTTTCAGAGCCACAGAGAACCTATGCATTAGACCTCATTCATTTAGGAACCTGTACTGTGTCCCGTGTGACTGTTAAAAAAATAAAACCAAAAGCCTTCATATAAACCCGTTGTTGGCAGTCTGTGGCGGGGTAGGGGGTGTTTGCACCAGGGCCACCCCTGGGGATGTGCGAGGTGGCAGCCTGGCTTCACCTGGTGCCATGTTTCTCCAGGAAGGAAACCCCAGTAATCATTCCACTTACACTTCTCCACCAGCATAGCTGCTGTCTAGTGAACTGAGGCATATCGGGGTGCTACCCCACCAATTTGGGGAGATCAGACTAGAGGAAGGTCAATGACTGCCTTTCTGATGGGGGAAAATTGTCTGAGTTGTTGTGTCAAAGTAGAGCCAAAGAGACGGGATGTTGGGCTCTGCTTCATCTTCGACAGGAGGGAATAGGTCAGAACCCGCCCTGCCCCAGCTTTTCCCCTCACAAAGGGTAAGTGTTAGCCTGTGTGTGTGTGTATGTGTCTGTCCTGTGCTCTACAGAGAGAGGCCTGTGTTGGGCATAACTAGTCTGGTGGTGACATTCATGAAGAAATCTCCCCAGCACAGCCGGGGACCACAGCCCTCTGCCACCTTTGATTCTGTGCACAGCCGACAAGGCAGGAGTTAACTCAAATCCCCATCAGGAATGCGTCTGCCAGGCCACCGTTCCATTCCACACCCTAGGAGGATGGGGGGCTCTGCTGTGATTGGTCTAAGAAGTCTCCAGGGGAATAACAGCATATCTGCTTTCTATCCAAAGGTTTCAGCCCCCTCCTCTCCTTGGTGAGGCAATACCAGATCCACCATCCAAATGAGAGGCTTTTCATGAAATCCTTTATTGCCCACAGACTTACACCGACAATCACTTCAACAACAAACTCCATAGGAAACAGCCGTTTCTCTCCGGCCCTGACCCAGGGTTACTCTGTGCTGGTGAAGAGCCTTCCACAGAAATGGAGCAAGGTGTATTTTATAGAAAACTTCTAATTAAATTACCGAGTCCATGCTTTTACATTGTATCTACGAGTGCAAAACCTCAACACCCAAATGTTTTTAGTATCTAAGTCAAATATCAAAGGGTCTGCTACATACTCAGAGATGCACATACCACTGTTCCGAAAATGAAGGCACGTTTTCCGATAACCAGTGATGAGGAGAAGCACAGCATTGCCTATATGGGTGTGACAACCTCCGCTCCTGGGCTGCATGATGACACGTGGGGATGCCATGTGGCACCTTCACTTGCTACCCCAGAAGCTCAGGGACAGGCCAGGTATGTCATGACGGCCTCACAGTGAAACCACATCATCTCCTGAAGGGGTGAAGTGGATTCGTTGAAGGTGAGGAGGGAATTTAAACCAATTCTCTTCACTTGTTGTATTGTCACATCTCCCAAATGTTGGCCAAATAACTTAGGTTTTATTGTTTTTCATAGAACAAAGATTAGAAAACTTGAAATTGATTTGTATTTCCACTCCTCGGGAATGTCCAAAGGCCGATTCTGTTCCAATATCAAAGTAGAAAGTGGTGAACCGGTCATAAACCCAGACAGAGACCTTTACAGCAATTCTTTCTTGTGTCACAAAAGTTAATGGAAAACAAAACACAAAATTTTCAAATAATATTTATCAATATGTATAATTTGCCATCTAAATGCTTTTTAAAAGGTAGTAAATACCTTATCATTACACATTAAATTTACACAGAGTTCTCTCCTAATCCTTGGATTTAAACATCAGATGTTTAATTCTGAATACAAAGAAACATTCACTTACTTAATTTTACAATATTTATTCTGGAACAAGTTATATTCAAAAGTCGAATGAACAGAGAACATTCCACTTGCAACCGACACATAGTTGTTACACAAAAAGGTCATTCCGTGTTCAGAGATGGATTTGCCCATTAATTTCTGCTGGGTTAGTTGTTGCTTGGTTTGGTGGTTAGGAGCTTTGGTTGTGGTAAGTGTCCTAGATGAGTGTGAATTAATTACCTCAGACTCTCAGGACCACAGCGTGTCCCTCATGTGCCTAGTTTTCTACCTACAGTGTTTTACAGTGAAACAACAAAACAGAAACTTACACTTGTCTGAGATTTCATTTCTGGTGCTTTCTTCTGTGAGAATGGCTCTCCCACCCCTTAGGAGGGAGCCCTGTGTTGTGGGCCCAAGGGAGTCATTTATTCGGGGTGTCTGTGAACGCAGGAAGGAAGAGAGACGTGACGTGGGGACAGCCTCATCCCACCCCCAGCATCCCTCCTAACACTGGCAGTAGTGCCTGCACGAGGGTGGCCCCCACACCTTGTCTGCCTGCTCCACCACCCTGGTCCCATCTGCCACCCAGTAGGCAAAGCCTTCAGACTCCCCAGACCACCCGGGGCGCTGGCCTCCGAGGTCCTCTTGAAGTTGACCACTCCAGCCGTCAGCCTTGTCTCGATGCAGCTCCCTGTGTGTGTTCATTTCCTGCTGGATTTATATATATTTATATATATAACCTCATCCATTCACCTCCCTGTCCCAGGAGCCCAGCACAGTGCCTGTGCACGTGACCCAGTGCACAGACGGGGCCTAGGGAAGGCTGTGCCCATACACAGCTGCCCAGGGGAAGACAAGGCTTGGCTAAGCACGCCTGACGGGGACAGCTTCTGCCACGCGGGCCCCTCCCCATGCTCCCTCGCTGGCATCCCGGATGCTACGCGCTGCTGGATGAATACAGGACGTAGGTCTGGACCTGCCTGTCCCCCAAGCCCTGCTTCTGACCCCCATCCTCCTCCACCCTCCTGTCCCCTCCTCTCCTCGCCTTCCCCCACTGCCTTCTCTTCCCTCGTGTCCCTCTGTCATTACCCACAGTGGCCCCTGTGGCCCTCCTGCCCTGTTTCTGCTCCCTTTGCACTCAGGCCCC